TGTTTGCTTTCTCTCTTACTAACCTCAAGGATACACCTGATGGATTCGCACCTACATAATATGAGGATAGAAGGAAAGTTGGCCTGACCAAAATACTAGACATTTTCTATGGCAAAACAGCACCCAGTGCGCTTTACTGGTTATAGAAATGCAACTGATGCACTGAAGAAATTTAAATATATCACTGCACGTTCAGAATGACGGTATATAGGACTTCGGAACGTAAATAAGCATATAAATTGGATAAACTAACTCGTGCGGTTGTTGAACCGTTTCGCGGTGATAAAAAACTCTCGTCACATTGGTAAAAGAAAACAAAAGTTTTGACCGCTGCGATGTCCGCCTCCACTACATTTTCATTACTGGGGGCTATGTGTAGTACTCTTCATTTTATGAAGCTTATGGTGCGGAAGTTATCTCCGTTTCTGAGCCATCAAGCCGGAGTGCATTTTAAGGAGAATCTATGGCCATGCGGCAAGCAAGAAAGTCCCCTGTTTTTTTCCCAAGAATGGCATTCATTTATCAATCTCCGTAAAGAAGAAAGGCAAGTACCGATTGAGGCTAGAACCCGGGATCTATGGGTTCTGAATCTGACGCACTGTCGACTGGGCATTCCCTTCTACTTCATACTGGGTTATAATGAAATACTGATTATGAGCATTGTACATGGAATGACAGAGTGCGACAAGGCAAGCTGATACATTTCGCAATCTGTTATATTCTCTCTTGTATGCAGCTTCTTCTCAAAATCGAAAATAAGCTCAATGCCATGTTTCATCAAATGTGAACGTACAAACATTTGCCTAGAGAATGGAGGTGTAAAGTAATTGTACGTATATTTAAACTGAGTCGGGTGACCAAGTATTCCAATCATCGTGGCTACGCACTATTGTCAACTCCCTGGAAATTTCTCTCGTGGTCTGTCCTGAAAATAATGAGGCAGACAGTTGATGGAAGGTATTTTCAAGATCAAGCAGGCTTCCGGATTAGGTACTCTTGACAGAAGAAACTTTCACCCTGAGTAAGATCATTGAGAAATGCCACCGATTCCATTTACCCTGGTTAATCAGGTTCCTCAATTTTAAGGCGCTGCATTCGACTCACGATATCGTCCGACGTTGTAGAAATCCTTGAAATTCTATGGGATGCATGAGCACATCGTTTCCATTTCGTAAAAGATGTATGTAAGCACCTTGTCTCTCTTCTGAATGGTTCCCTGTTAACAGTGGGATTTACCAGGAATATGTGCTTTCATATTTTTTTGTTTAAAATCATCGTCGATTTTCTTCTGCGAAACAGTGGTGATTCTGGAAAAGAAGAAAGGCTCACTCTAAAGAACAGGCGCGATTCAACATATCTTACTGACATGGAATGGGCAGATGATG